AGAATTGATACCTTTGAGCTGTCGTGCTGGAGAAGAGTATTGAGAATACCATGGACTGCTAGGAAAACAAACAGATTCATCCTGGAAAGGGTCAAACCAGGCTGCTCCTTGGAGGCAAGGATTCTGAGGCTCCGTCTAACATACTTTGGACATGTTGTGAGGACAGACCGGTCTTTGGAGAAGGACATCATGATTGAGAGGATGGAGGGACAGCGCAGGAGGGGAAGACCCTCTATGAGGTGGATTGATTCAGTAACTGGGGTAACCTTCCAGAAATATCACGCATTCAAAGTGCAGTGGCTTGCAGTATATTCACAGAGTTGTATGACCATCATCATCAATTTTAGAGCGTTCTTGTCATGTCAAGAAGAAAAAAAAAATTGGCCCCAGTCACTCTCACATCCATCACTAGTCCTATGTAGTTGCTAGTCCTCTACCCCTCATCTTGTGTTTTCGTTGTTAGGTGTCATTGAGTGTGACTCATTGTGACTGTGAATGACATATCTGAACTCCGTCCTACCCTGTGCCAACCTCACCATCTCTGACACACTCGGGCCCAGGTCCCCAGTCCTAGACGTTATCTCATCCTTTTCGTCTGGTTGTCTGTTGTGGAATTTCATACAAGTGGAATGATACCATGTTGGTGGCCCACTTCTTCCTCTTGAGATAGTCTTTTCAAGGTTCGTCCACCTTGTAACATGTGCCAGTACTTTACTCCTAACCCCTGAATGGTATCCAATTGGATGGCTGGATCTGACCACTGTGCTGTCAGGGGCTTAATGTCCAGAATGGCTTTCCTAGCCATTGGCTTTGATACTCACCAAGCAGCTAGGTGGGAACACTTTGATGCAGTTCAACTATCTTCCCCTGCTCCTATCCTTTTATCCCTTGGGCTTTTGGTATCACGCCTAGAAATCTTTGTCTAGTCCAACGGTGAAGTATGACTCCTGTGTGAGTCCTTCAGTGGTATAGTTAATGTGCTCGGCTGCTGATGGAAAGGTCAGAGGTTCAAGTATGTCCACAGCTGCCTCTGAAGAAAACCCTTGACTTTGCTGAAAACGCTGTAGGGCATAGCTCTTCCTGAACGCGGGGTGGGGTGGGGGAGCTGGGCATGAGTCACAAGGGCTCAATGGCGGCCAGCATGTCTTCTAAGCGTTTGTAGTTTCACCTCGTGCATAGGCTTATGATCCACCTGAGTTAATTTCTGTGTGTTGTAGAAGGAAGGTGTCCAGCATCTGTCTTCCGGGTGCAGAGACCTGGCGGTGACATAAAGGTGGGAGTATAAAGGTGACATGCCAAGTAAACAGAGCCCGACCTGGTGAGAGGAGGGGAGACTCAACTGGCATTGAATGAATGAATGGAAAAAATGGGGTGCATTTGAGGAAAACCACTATTGGTCACAACTACTGAGAATGAGAGGGAGCTCTGGGGCCTTAGTGGTAAGAAATTGTGCCACCAACCCAAAGGCACGCAGTTCCAGTCTACCAGGTGCTCTAGCAGCTGCGTGGCCATACTGGGGAACACAAAGAAAAAAAAATCTAGTGTACTAATGTGGGGAGACAGATCATGGCGGGGTGGGTTTCGAGTTCCCAGGTAGCTGTTAAGTCCATACATATTTAGAGGATGACAATTTTTAAAAAGGAAACTGGGGCGGCCTGCTTTGTGTGTAACGGCTTTGTTGTTTTTTTAAAGGCACTTAGAGAGCTGGAAAGGGAGCCCCCAAATAGCCAGGGCTGTAGCTCCCGCTCATTCCGGGACTGAGGGTCTGTTCCTAGTTGACCCTTGTTGACCCTTTTGTCCCAATGGGCAGGACACACAGAAGGGCCACGTTCGTGAACATCGTTGGACCATTGGGTTCCTATATGTGGGTGCGCCTTCACAGCCTCTGGAGCTGGGGGGTAGGGTGGGGGTGTTCCAGGTTCAGGGAGAAAATGCAATGCTCCACGTCCTGGCCCTGCCCTGACCTCATGGTCCAGGTCTCTAGGCCACTAACGCTCAAGGCCCCTCCTCCCAAGGTCTGGTCCCAGCCCCTGGCCTGGCTCTTAGCCTCCAGCTTCAGCCTCTCATGGCCACGCCCCGTGAAGCCCCTACGACCCCCATGCAGCCCCCCAACTCCCCTTGAAGCCCCTCCTATCACAGCCCGCCATTCACCTCGGGCCGCTGCTCCATCCTCAGTATTACAAGTCCCGCCCACTCCTCAAGGCCGCTCCATCATCTCAAGGCCACGCCCCCAGCCTTCAGACCACTGAAACCACGCCCACAGAGGCCACGCCCCCGAGGCTTAGGGCAGCTAGGGCTTCACAACTGCTTTTAGACCCCATTCCCCGCACCCTAAGGCCCCGCCCCAGAGACTTCACCCCTCGAGGCCCCGCGTGTTTACAGTGGGACTAGCTTCTCATCACCCTACCTCAGTCTCCAGCCCTCCCTGTGCACATCGGCTCCAGCCCCTTGAGGCCCCGCCCCTCGAAGCTCCACCCTCTATGGCTGAACCAGCCTATCACCACTCGTCCTTGGCCTCCAGCCCCCGCCCCTTAGGCTCCTCCCTTGAGGCCCCTCCCCTCAAAGTCCCACCCTCTATGGCTGAACCAGCCTCTCACCACTCGCCCTTGGCTTTCAGCCTCCTCCCCCTAGGCTCTGCCCGGAGGCCCCGCCCCTCGAAGTCCCACCCTTTACGGATGGACCAGCCTATCACCACTCGTCCTTGGCCTTCAGCCCCCCGCCCTTAGGCTCCGCCCCTTGAGGCCCCGCCCCTCGCGGCCGCGGCTCTGCCCCTCGGAGGCGCCGCGCGCGAGGCCCCGCGCCTTTTGTGTGGGGTCTGTCGGCTGCGCGCGCACGCTTAACACGGCGGCCGCGGGGAGAGGAGCCGGCGCGCGCTCTCACGCAGCGGGCGGAGGGGCCTCTCGGCCACGCGCGCACCCTCCGTGTCGGTCGTGGGCTGAGGTCCCCACGGCGAGTCTGCGCCGCCCGCGCGCTGCCCCGGGGCCGCCGCAAGTGACCCCACCAGACTCTCCCTCCCCCAGCTCG